TGTGTGTGTGTGTGTGTGTGTGTGTGTGTGTGTAGGGGGGGTGCGGTTATTGTTTGTTTACCTCCTCGCGTCCTGCCCCTGACGGCTCCTCATCCTCTCGCCGCGGTGCCTGCTTGTCTGTGTTATGTCTCCCGCTTTCGCGCGCGCACACACACACACACACACATACACACACACCGGCTGTAGCTTAGCGTGGCTGTCGGCTGCACACCTCCAGCGTATGGTGTGGTGTCTCGGTGTGTGTGTGTGTGTGTGTGTGTGAGTGTGAGTGAGCGCGCGCGCGTTATTCTCCCCCGACGTCTGCCTTAACCCTTCGGCGCCTGGAAGGAGAGCCGCATACAGCCGTGCTGTACCGGGGTGTGCTAGGCGGACGGGGCTTGGGAGGCGGAGGTGGGCTTCCCTTCCTTCAAAGGAAGCGATCGAGCGAGGGGAAAGAAGAGCCGGAGGGCCGAGGCTCAGCGGGGGGCTTCCCTCCCCTTCTCGGGAGGCTTAACACGCCCTCTTTCGCACCTGAAAGACGCCTTCCGTCTTTTATCTCCCACGAGTGCCGGTGGGAAGGGAAGGGGGCAGGCGGGGGTTTCTTACCCAGAGCGGAGGGGGGGGAAAGGGGGCATGCTGCGTATGCTCAGAGGCTCCCTCTTCCTTTCAGTTTTGACCACCTGGGAATCGCCGTTGTGTTGTTTTTTTTAAGGGACACAAGCCAACCATTATTAAATATTTGCAGAAATCTGCAAATCTTTATCTGGAAAGTCTGGGGCGCTTTCGTTAAACAGTTTCCCCCCTCCGTCTTGCCAACCCATTTATTCACGATAGTGCCGTCCTGATCCCCAGCCCTAAATTTAAGCTCCCCCCCCCCAATCTTCCCAAAGACGATTGTGCTCAGAATTGAATCGTGGTTAACTGGGAAAGTGTGGTCAACCTGGTTATACGCCAGTCTATTGCCAACCAACTCTTTATAACCTTTTTAGTTAGCAAGAAGCTGTGATCACAAGGAGGCTGCAATCTAAAGGACCTTCTCTCTGACAGTGAGGGGGGGGAATGAGATTCCCTTCATTGCGTATCTTATTCATGGGTTTGAGATATGATGAGCCTTTGGAATGTCTTTCACTGGATGGACAAGCCATTGGTCCTTCCATGCACAGATGTGGGCTAAGCCAAAGTGGGGTTCATTTTATCTTACCTTGATTGGTAAGTGAATGTTAATGATTATTATTAGATGCTATCAATCTAATCAACTCTAGGCAGCAAACATATTGCACCTAAAACGGTTTCTACAACAACAACCCTGTGAAGTGGGTTGAAAGAGACAGACTGGCTCAAAGCTACCCAGCCGGCTTTGGTTCCACCACAAAACCGTGTTCGACTAAAGGGCGCTCAACGAAACCGCGTAGCTGACGTCATCACAGCGCGACGAAAAAAGCACGCTGTAAACGCTAAACCTAAAATTAACCCCTAAACCTAAACCTAACCCTAACCCTAAACCTAACCCTACCCCTTAACCTAACGCTAACCCTAAACCTAACCCTTAACCTAACGCTAACCCTAAANCAATAAATGGCCAGGGGGAGGCGTGCGCACATGTGCAGGGGAACTGAAGTAGGATGACGGCTCAGATGCCCACAGAGAGGGCACTGTGTGCCACCTCTGGCACGTGTGCCATAGGTTCGCCATCACAGAGCTATTCACTAACAAAACAGCTATCTCAAGAGGAGGTGGACTTACCTTCACCAGAAATATTCAGCAGTCTGGATGGCCATTTATTGGGGACTGTATATAAGAGCCGTGGTGGCGCAGTGGATAGAATGCAGGATTGCAGGCTAATTCTGCTGACTGTCGATTGTCAGCAGTTTGATTTTCACTGGCTCAAGGTTGACTCAGCCTTCCATCCTTCCGAGATCGGTAAAATGAGGACCCAGATTGTTGGGGGCAATAGGCTGACTCTGTAAACTGCTTAGAGAGGGCTGTGAAGCGGTATATAAGTCCAAGTGCTATTGCTATTGTCAGGCACAAAGGGTCAGGACCATAGATCCTGCAGTTCAGAAAGATTTATTACTCAAGCCGATACATAAGAATCTAGTCAATACTAAGAATCTAGTCAACACTTCTGGCGTACTGGACTGTATAGGGAGGAACCCACTTCTGGAAGGGCATCCAGCCATTAAACACCCTGCTAGCTCCATTCAGTTGCCCAGACCCCATAATCCCTCCACAAGGGATTATGGGGTCATTAAATGACGATGATCCTCAAATTCTGCTTTCTTTTGTTTTATTCATTATTTATTTCATCCTGTCTTCATTTACTTCAATGGACTGAATTATATTGAGAACTCAATTGATTAATTCCCTCCACTGTTAGGACTTTGGACTGAGTGCATGCAGAAGTAATTATTTTATGCTTCCTGCACTTTCTTTTCCTCCTTGTAGTCATGGGATCACTCAATTTATTTTGGGCTTTCCGCCTTGCTAGTCTGTAAAAAGTAGCTAATAGAACAAGAATAACATTTCCAGCTGGGTAGGAAGCAACTGTTTTTAGGGAAGGAGTGCAATGGAATATAATAAGCTGAATTATTTAACATGTTGGTGGAAATCAATTCTGATTAATTTCTTGCTCTGGGCTTCAATTGATGGCTTGGTTGCCAAGCCTATGTTTGGGACTGGGATGGGAAAGAAGGAATTCTGATCATCTGCTGGGATATAAATCAGTACATCTAGGAAGTGTAGATGAAAATAAATGCTATTTTGATTACTATTTCCTCTTCCTTCCGTATTTTCTGCAGAGCCAGCTGTCCCAGGCCCTGAATGGACTTTCAGACAGAGCCAAAGAAGCCAAAGAATTCTTGGTACAGCTACGAAACATGGTTCAACAAATCCAGGTATTGTGTTGATTCTAATAGAAATAGAATAACAGAGTTGGAAGGGACCTTGGAGGTCTTCTAATTCAACCTCCTGCTTAGGCAGGAATCCCTACACCACTTCAGACAAATGGTTGTCCAACATCTTCTTAAAAACTTCCAGTGTTGGAGCACTCACAACTTCTGGAGCCAAGTTGTTCCACTGGTTCATTGTTCTAGATGTCAGGAAATTTCTCCTTAGTTCTAGGTTGCTTCTCTCCTTGATTAGTTTCCACCTATTGCTTCCTGTCCTACCCTCAGATGCTTTGGAGAATAGTTTGACTCCCTCTTCTTTGTGGCAGCCCCACAAAATTAGGTTCATAATAATCCTGAACAGAAGTAGAATGTGAGCAGAGCCACTATGTGACATTCAATTCCATGAGCTTAGAATACACACAATCAAACAGCAGAGCAAACCACAGTTGACAACAGATTGCCAGGCCTCCTTTTTTCCCCAGCAATGTCCCAATCACCTTTAGGATGACCAATTCTTTAAGAAAACACAATAAGGGGTTGGGGTGTATTTGAGAGATGACTCATTGCATTTAGAGTGGAAATGGGCTGTTCTTATCCACCTCTCATCCACCTCTCCATCCACTTGATCGGTAAATTGCACAAATAAAAATAGTTTTATTTTCCATGCAACCATGGTGGAGAGTCTAAACAAAGATGGAGAAGTGGACAGTCTCTTGCAGTACTGACTTTGTTCTAAATCCAGACTATGGAGACGAAAGCTGACTCTTGGTTAAATCTCTATTTTGGGTGATAACACTAGACTGTGGATAAAATAAGCTAGTAACAGCAAGGCTGTAATTACAGATTGTGATCAAGGCATTCTATTGTAATCATCTTGACAGATCCCATTCTAAATTTGGATTACAGGATAAGGCAAATTACAATATGGCATAATGTGGGATGCAAACATGAACAGTTTTCACTGACTCCTAGTCAGTAATAAAGATCAAGGTCTTTTGTATTAAATTGTCCATTCCATAATATTAGTAATAATGAGAATAAGGGTGATGGTGATGTTACTACCATATGAACAAACCATCATTTTATTGATTGTATGTGATTGTGCATGGATGTGTTCTCCCTTTAGAATAATGTTTCCCAACCTCAATAATAGCAATAGCAATAGCAATAGCAGTTAGACTTATATACCG